TTTGTTTGATTGCCAACATGAAAGAAAGGGGCCGGGGTCCCCACAATTCAACCCGGTTTGTCTCCTCTGGCAGCTTCAGCCAGCTTCGCTTTTGACGGGACTAGTAAGACCCGAGAAACATCTGTACTGAATTGCTTAGGTGTCTAAAGAACTTTTGTGCATCTACTGATGTATCAATGGGGAAAGGATGACAAGGTACCGTGTTATCTAAAGGGAAGGGGTGTGAGATGATCAGAAAGTAAGGGCCTCATTAGACCCTCCTTGAAAAATCCTCAGGATAAAGACGAAGTCCTTGGAAAATTTCAAGGAATTCGGCGGCGTCGTTACACCGCGTCCTAAACGAAAGGGTCCCAAGGAAAAACCTTGGAGGTATCCCGCGGCCAATTTCATACGCAAATGTGAGGCCGCGGGAAAGGATGTCCGTCATCGTCGAGGGATGTCCGTCCGTCGTCGGGCGTGGTCCACTGGCGGCGCAAGGAGGCCCGCGATGCTGCGCTGTGAAAAGAGGCGCGAAGGTTCCTTTTCGAAATTCGAATTTCAAACCGTCGGACGAGGTAAAGGCGCGCCGTGGCGTCACCACCCTGGAGCTACCAGTGTGTGAAACGTGTGTGCGGACGATTTGCGGCGCCCATCGCTGTTGGCGACTCGTTCATCCGATCGTTAGCCGCTGCGGCGCGAAAGGTGACGACGTTGGAGTGCGTGAAGTGGTGTGTGTCCCGCCTTCGTCTTCCTGCAGACGACGACGATCCGGTGGCTCACCATAGTTTCACGCGCCCGTCATTCGTGCACGAGGATCCACTCCAACGTCCGCTGGGACAGTGTGTGACGAGGGTCTAGTCCTCCGTCTGTTGTGGTTGTTGAACAAGGCGCCGTCGCGGCATCGTGATGGAACACGTGTCGCAGGAGGTTCGTGGCAAGACCTTGAGCAGGGTGGAGAGAAATGCGGTGGTTGCAGCGGGGTCGGCGGTGGCGATGCGATGTTGCATCGAGAGAACGACGGCGCGGTTGAGGACGAGAGTGTCTATCCGCAGGCAGCGTGAGCTCCTCCACCACGTGATGGCGGCGCCAGACTGCGTGTCCATGTCCGAATCCATTACCCAGTTCTGCGCCACCATGTCATCCGGGGCGATACCGCGGGCGATTCCAAGGTGGTGGATGCGGAGAAGGACAAGCGGCACGTGGGAGGATCTGCGGAAGATGGACGACGCCTCGGACGAGTACTACAAGGAAAAGTTGAGGATGACCCCCAGGGTGTTCATGGAGATCGTGGAGGCGTAATCTCCTCTTCTGCAGCGGCGGGTGACATTCTACAGGGTTCCTTTGCAGCCGGATCACATCATCGCATATGCGTTGTACCGATGGGCGAGCGGTGAGACGTACGAGAGCAGCACGTCGTCATTCGAAATAGGGCGCGCATCCGGGTTGATCGCAGTGGAGGACGTTACGAGGGCGCTCCTGAGGGTGTACAGTGACAAGATCGTATGGCCTACTGGGATGCGTCGTACTCTCGTTCTGCGTGCCTTCGAGGCGAAGGGCTTTCCCAACTGCTATGGCTGCATAGGCTGCACACACGTTTACGTCGACAAACCGGCGAACGCTCCTTCGGAGAACTACTTCGACCGAAAGCATCGTTTCTCCGTTGTAGTGCAGGTGGTGGTGGACTTGGACTTGCGCATCACGAACGTTTTCGTCGGTTACCCAGGGAGCTGCCATGACATTCGGGTGCTTCAACTCTTCAGTCTGTGGGCACGTGCGAAGGAGGGGGATCTTTTCCGTGGAGCTCCTGTTGTGCTGCCGTTCGGAGTAACGACACACGGTTACATTCTGGGCGACAACGGGTATCCGCCGCTGGAGTGGATTGTCGTGCCGTACGGGGGACCGATCAAATCCCCTACGAGGAGAGGTTCGACAACAAGCAAAAGGTTGCCAGGGGAGCAGTGGAGAGAGCTTTCGGGAGATTGAAAGGGATGTGGAGGTTGTTCCTCCGCACACACAAGACGAATATGAACACTCTCCCACAACAGTTCCAGGCCGTGTGCATTCTGCACAACATCCTCCTTGACGCTGGCATGGAGTTCGACGACAACTTGCTGTGGGAGGTCGATGCTAATGGCGTGCGGCAACGAGTGGACTTGGGGTTGAATCATCCACCCCACCCCATTGCTGAGAACTTCAATCGGCCCCGTGCGTTGGCGCTACGCGAGGCGTTGGCGGAGAGGATGAAACACGCGTGAAGGCGCGCACTGCGTCGACGGCACGTGGCTCCGTCGTCCTTGTGGAGGTCGTTCTGTGTTGTGTCCAATAGATGCATTCTGTGTTATTTAGCTGTGGCACGCGTGTGCCGTGCCCTGGAGTGTTGTGTACGTTTAGTGCGGGTTGTCATTGATCGCTAGTGTCGTGGAGCTGTCGTCGGAGACGATGTTCATCCGCAGCTCTTTTCCTTTTTTTTTTTTTTTTTGTTAAACATTTTGTAGTAGGTTTTTGGCGACCGGTGATGCGGTTTGTTGTGAGCGAGTGCGCGCAGCTGCGCGATTTCGTTTTCGAAGAAGACGGTGTCTGTTGGCGGGGTAATCAGTCCGGAGGTGACTCGTTTTTGTTCTCCTTTTTTCAAATGTGTACTTTGGAGTGGAGTTGCGGCTGCGGGTGTGCGTCTATCGGTGCTGTGATTTCGTGTATGTGATTGCAATCGAAATGTCTTTTTCTTTCCTATTTCATTTTTTTTTCGTTTCATTGCCTTTGGTGTTTTTTTTTTATTTTTTAAATCTTCGTGTTGCGGTTTGTATGTTAGGGGCGATGTGTGCGCCTTCCATTGATCTGTTGTCTCCTCAGGACGACTAGAGCGTGAATGCGGTTATTTTTTTTTGCAGTTCACAGTGCGCTTTCATCAACAATCAGAAACCTCGTCCACCAAGAATGCCCGACCTCGCGGAGCGTCACACCCTAGCTTGGACGAGTCTGGCGGGCAACCGATCAACTGATCATTGGATCAGTTCATCGGCTTGCCGACAAAGCTGTCCGTCCTGAGGTGCGTAGATCATACGTATCATCCCATTGGAAACCGACGACCGTTCCAAACAATCACCCAATCAACACGAAGAAAAGGTCATTCACACCAAACAAGAGAAAGTGATATTTGAGGGAACGAATCGTCATATTCCAACGGGACACACCGTTCATTTGCAGGGGTAGGTCGAATTAACACTCTCGCATATGATCATCATTGCCATCGCAGTGGCAGACAACGACCGTTCCCAAAAAAAAAAACAATCACCACGAAGAGAACGACATTCACACCACTCATGAAAAAAAGAGATTTGAGGAAACGCTTCATCACATTCCAATGGGACACACCGTTCCATTGCTAGACTCCGGTCAATGAACACACTCGCTAAACCCTATCGACATCGGACTGTCGTTTTCAACAAAGAACAACAAAAGGCGCCGCTCGTCATTCCTGGCGCATACCAACCATCGCACTGACTTCACAATGCACCGTCAAATACCCTACAAAGCCGACCTCTGTCGGAGGCCGGTTAACAACTACCAAGCGCCTTTGGGAGACGAGACACTGCGCGCGTGCAGCGGGGCGAAACAGGAACACAATCTACGAAGGGGCCCTCTCGCGGCGAAACGCGTCAATGCATGCAAACCATCTGCGGTCGTCGCCGTCATCCC